TAATTTAAATAAATATATTTGTAATTTAAATTTTATGTTAATAAGTTTTGTTAAACATACATTTAGTATGTTTTTTTTATATTTGACATAGATACCATTTAAAATATTCAGATAAAAATATCATTAAAATGTAATTGTGATAAAATGAATATTATGTAATATTATATTAAATAAACAAATATAATATACAAAATAAATGACAAAATTTAAATATTGTTCTCGATATAATTTAGCTATTTAACAATACAATCTACTATTACCTACGGATCATTCTACCTATGTTTATTCTATGATAAAAAAACCAAACGCGCGAACACAGAGTAGCGCACATTTTTGTTTGAGATAGCTGTTCTAGTACGTAAGTACATATTACTTCAATGCAGGTACCTAACAAATGTCATTATAAAGTTAATACGTAAAAACAAATATCAGAAAATAAAAAAATAAATAAAAAGAATTAACAATTAATCTACCTGTATTGTGCAATGATTAAAATAATTTGAGTAATAGTCATCAAACCAGTGCAAATCTGTTATGAAATTAATGGCATAGAAATCTATGGAATATGAAATAATATTAATAATACCTGATAACCAAAAGTTATAAAAAAAAAGAAGAAAAAAATAGTAATAATATATGAATTGAGCTGCTGGAGTAAATGAATAAAAGCGAAATTACATGAGAAACACGCCACTAACATCATTTTCTCGTCGTCTTCCTAGCCCTAGCTGTAGTAACACAGGGATTGGGAGCCTAAGATGCCGCCACCGCCGTCGCCGCAGTCAAGAATGAGTTAGTAGGAACACTACCAGCTCCATCAGGATGGTAGTGCTTCATCAGCATCATCAGGAATGGCGATCACCTCAGCCACGGTGTACACCCGGTGCTTCGTGCCATCGGACCCAAGCACCACAACGTATCCGTCTCGTGTCCAACATTGTGAAAGACCAAAACGCTTCCGAGCAACAACGAACGCCGAACTCAGATAGAGTAACTCCGCTACCCTTTAACTTGGTTTTGGAAAACCAAACTTTGTCACGGAGATCCTGATTCGAAATTTCACGAGCAGTGCACGAGGCTTGTCTCCGCGGGGGCGCCCTAAGCGATGGCATCTGGTGATAAATTCCTCAGTTATTTCTGGGATGTTCAGTCGTTCCGATAATAGCTTACTCGTGCAATGCACTGGGTTCCTATCTCGGGCTTCTGACACTCCATGGACAAGCAAAATCTTCCTCCTGGTCCTTACTTCCATTTCCTCTTGCTTCCTACAGAGAAGCTGGAGTTGAAATTGCAGATTCCCAAGTGCTGACAGGACAAATGCTCTAAAGGCATTAAATTGTGCATTAATGTTGGAAGAAGGGCTTGTTGCAGGGATGGATGTTCTGACCTCCCTCTGGAACTCATCCATACGTGAAGTGAAATTCAGCGTTAGCTCTTCAATTGACTTCTTAAGAAAATCCATGATGAAAGTTAAAGGTTATTTAAAGGTCAATGTTAGGTGACAGTGAAGTGGCAAAATGTTTTAAGGTGTGCACAGTGGAAAACAAATTATTAGTAAACAATGCTGGTGGATTTATGTCTTTATCTAGGTACATTTATACACATGATTGTTCTTTATATACTATTTTTAAACTTATATATATATACACATATATATATATATATATATATATATATATATATATATATATATATATATATATATATATATATAAGTTTAAAAATATATTACTAAAGAAGAAAAAAGAAAAAAAGAAAAGAAAAAAAGAAAAAGAGAAAATAATAAACAAAAAAGTGTTGAAAACAAATGACGTGATAATAATATTCTCGTATATTTTTTATTATTTATTTAGGTATTGTTGTCATATTTGGTACGTTTTATTTATTAGTTGAGAATTTCAGGAAGAACGATTGCTGGTGCAGGGATGATTGGCTGAGCGACGACGACAGTCTCGGGCTTATCAGCTTCTTCGACGACGATGACGGGCTCGGGGACGATAGGCGTGTCCACGACGATGACGGGCTCGGGAACGATAGGCTTGTCTACGACGATGACGGGCACGGGGACAACAGGCTCGGCATTAACAGCTTCATCCACAACCTGAACAGGGGTAGGAGCGGGAGACTGAACGGTCTCAACGGAGACGGGAGAGCCAACAACGTCAGACGCAGATTGGATGTTTAAGATGATCTGCACAAGAGGAGCGCTGGCCGAGGATTCAACAGGAGCGGGCATGACAGGGGTGGGGTTGACATCAGCCACGGCACCACCATCGGGCAAGGGGAAATCGACGACAGCGGGCCCGATGGCAATAGGCTCATAGTTGTCTACGATGGCGGGTCCAACATCTATAGGTTCGGGCTTAGCAATGCCGAGGATTTCCAGGAGCAATTCTTCAAGAGCAGCGGCGGTAGCAGGGTCAGTGCTGGGGCTCTGGATAGCAGCCACGATCTCCTGAATCTCAGGATTGTCGCTGGCGATGACTGCGGCAGGAATGACGCTGGCCGAGGCCACGGCAAGAAGAGCGAAAGCGATGAAGAATTTCATGTTCTGAAAATAAGAATTTATTTTATAGAAGTTAGTGCAACAAAACAAACGAGTGCACCTCCTTAAAGCAAATATTAATAATATAGGTAATATAAAATAAGTATCTTAATGAAGATGCATTATCACCGCTGAGGAATGAGACGGAATAAAACACAGCAGCATTATGGTGCCATTTTATGTTGGTATTGCATAAGGTCATGGTCTTTCCCCGGAGGTGTCGATCCGTTTTGCAGCCATTACTAACACATGCGTTTTATCCTCCTTCGATTGAAATGGTATATGCGTAGCATTGAGCACAGCATGTGTCGGAAAAGTAGCGGTTAGTCTCTGTGTAGTCCTATGTGCAAGCTTCCACCATCACTACCACAACCCATGGAAAGTACCTTGCTGCCTGTCTTCTATTTCATTTCCCTCGATCGCCACAGGATGATATGAGGTAGGGATATCGGCACACCACCACTAAACGGTACATATTGATACGTCTCCGTGTATTTGCCTTAATACCAACGCTGGGCGGGCAGTTTAGCAATTACACTAGCAGATAGAATTTGCTCACCGTTACGAGTGTGAAATTTTAGGTTGGAATTAAACGACTTGGATCCGATAGAAGCAATGCAATCCAGATATGGGATTAAAGGAGATGGACCCGATGGCTGGATCCCTTCTATCGGAAACCATTCCTGAGTTTTCCAAAGGTCATGAGACGAAATATGGTGATAGAATTTATACGGCATTTACGTTTCTGTTACACTTCCCGTTCAGTTGATAATATATCGTTACAAAATATAGATGACAATATACGTAGCTATCACAGAGTTTGAAATATAATACATACCCTGACACTTAAGTGACAAAAATGAAAATATATGTGAATACTATGTTAAAATTGAAAATATTAAAAAAGGTAGTACTTAAGAGTTTTTGTTGTACAATATTATAACGGATTAATTTATCAAATTTAAATACTCACTCTCGAGTCTGTAATCCTCACAATAACTATGTAGAAGAACTTCTCATTTGGGATATTTATACCAAAATGCGTTATCTTTAACTTTAATTTAATCTCAGATAAAATTTTAATTTATTAGGTCAATATATTAACAGCCCGATTAAGATAATATTTATTTCGCTATCAAAGACTTCCTTAGGTCTCTTGCGATATCAACGGGATGATTTGGTGTAATGAATCTTTTAAACCTATTAATTCTTCGAAGTATTTTCGATTTCTCAGATCTTTCAGGATTTCTCAAGATGTTTTTTTTCACCGCTGAGTCTGTAAATCAGCACTTAAAAACGCAGTCAACAATTCCTTTAGCGCCGTATTCAGGGAAATCTCGGAAACAGCAAATAAAAATCCGGTATCACAGTACTAATTAAATCTCGATACCAAATATTCCAGTATAATAAAAGATTCACTTTTGTAATACCTACAGAAAACACACAATATTTATCGACAGAAGCATTTAGTTAATTATGACGCACGAAAGTCGGTTTTCCGAAAATAATTCACATATTTTTTTAAATATAACCTATATATTTAAACTAACTGACTGCTTAAATCTACTCTTCTTTAAACTAACTGACTGCTTTAATCTACTTTTCTAGTCACTACAATTCCAAAACTCGTATAACATACGACTCATACGTGGTAGAGATGCTGCGGTTCTATTAGTAGTATAGTTGTAGCACGAATGGGTCGGCTCAACCGGGGAAGGAACACGCTCTCACAGAATACCAGCGTAAAATAGTAGCTCAATGATAGTGTGTTTCGTATGGTGAGTGTAGAGAACCGGAGATCCTTTTTACTGGAAATGAGGCATTCCATCTTAGTCCTCACGGGTGACAACTCATCTGCACTTTGATTCGTAATCGAGGGTACATGTATGGGCCACTGCAATCACTATCAGGGGACTTCACTCTAACCTAAACGCCGTCCACTACCATCTCGAGACAGCGAAGCCGGCTCTGCTCTTTCTGACCGAGACGCAGGTGTCCTCTCCGGTTGATGTCTCGTATCTCTCCTACCCGGGGTACAAACTGGAACACTCCTTTATGCCTCGGGCTGGAGGTTGCGTTTACGTCAGAGAGGGTTTGGGCTGTTCTACAACGATAACAGCCTCGGCGACAGTAGGTTCATCGACAACGACATCTTCAGGTACGTCAGGCTTGTGTATGACGGTAACGGGCTTGTCGACAACAATTACGGGCTCAGCGACAACAGGTGTATGGACAACAACAACTTGATCAGGAATTTGAGCGGCATCAATAACTTGGACAGGAGTAGGTGCTGGTGGGTTGACAGACTCAACAACAACAGGAGAGCCACCAATGGCGTTAGCCAAAGCTTGATTGATTTTAATGATGATTTGGACTAGAGGGGATTAGGAGGGTGACGGAATAGTAGGGTTGGGCTCTACAGCAGTGACAGCACCCCCGTCGGGCAGGGGGAAATCTATGATGGCAGGCCCAATGGAGATGGGTTCGTAGTTGTCGACGATTGCAGGTCCAACTTCGATGGGTTCAGGCTTAGAAAGGCCGAGGATTTCAAGGAGCATTTGTTCAAGAGCAGCAGCAGTAGCGGGGTCGGTACTCGGGTGGCGGCCACGATTTCGGGGTTTTCACTGGCGATGACAGCGGCGGGAAGAACACTGGCCGAGGCTACGGCGAACAGGAGGGACAATGCGACGAAAAGTTTCATATTGGCGATCTAGATTATAAAAAAGCTTACTTTAGTTGTCCGGTAAAATTGATTTTTACGCGATTTCTGTCAATTAAAATGACGAAACAAATCCATGATTTAAATTGCACTCTAAATCGTTTCCGTTACAGCCTATTATTGTAAAAGTTCACTGCTCAACATAGACCTCTCACATATAATGCCCCATAGGGAAGATATTTGCCATAATTACAAAGCTCGGCAGGCGCTTCTGCAACCGCAGTTTTTTACTGTGAAAGCCGCTGCTGCTCGTCTCTTGGTTCGTTTCCATCTGCCACCTCTTACGATATTAACGAGACGATAGGGGTAGTGATATTCTTACACCGCACCTACACGGCCGGTATTTTTTTATAGGATAGCATGACAAACGAGCACACAGTCCACCTGATGGTAAGTGGTTGCTGTGGCCCATAGACATCTACATCTATCCTCAATTACGAATTAAAATGCAGATCCGTTGTCACCCGTGAGGACAAAGATGGAATGCCTCGTTTCCAGTAAAAGGGGTCTCCGGTTCTCTACACTCACCATACGAAATACAGCAGCATTAAGCTACTATTTCACGCTGGTATTCTGTGAGAGCGTGGTCCTTCCCCGGTCGAGCCGACCCATTCGTGCTACAACTATACTACTAATATAACTGCAGCATGGCTCTACCACGTATATATTACCATAGTACCACGTATACGGTATTCTGAATAATGCATAGAAATTGTGATAAAATTAATATATTAAAAGAATAAGGCTAAAACAGTTAATTTGTTTTAATAGTTACTTGGACTTACTTGGACTTTTTCAGTTCGCTAACTACCAATATTGTTTAACTTCAGATCAAAGTATTTATAGTGAATTTTATCTGTGGTGACATTATTCATTCAATTATTATTACGGTCGTTAAATTTATCCCCCTAATTTAATTTTGTTGCACATCTGATATCAATTAGTTATTATGAAATGCAACATCCCTCTGTCTGTCTGTCCATTGCTATGCATATACCGATAGATTATATTTTATATACATCAATTATAGCCCATGAATATAGGCCTCCCCATAGAGTGCTCGAGATGTTCCGCACACCTCATCAAAGACTTACTAGACGTACTTCAAATTACTTGATTTATATTTTGAATTTTACGATTTGTGGAAAAAGTATCAAAGAAAATTAATACTTCATAAATACAATTACTTTATTGATTTCCAATAAAACCGAAGTTAAATCTACTCCACTCACATACATTTGTTTTTATAATTATAATCGCTTTAGTAAATAATAAATTTTCTAAATTAAAAAGCGGTAATTATACCCGAAATCATGTGTACTTAGATTTTTTATTTTTCGTAAGTAAATACTTTCAAATTGATATTAAATGACAACCGAGTAGAGGCGGTATAAGAATATCGACCAACCCATATCGTCCTTTGGGTGTCGTAAGGGGCGACAGAGAGAAACTAATCTGGAGATGGGTAGCACCGTCTCCCTAGTAATAGCAATCAGATTAAATAATGCGGCAATTATTTCCTCCATAAGGAAATCTATGTGAAGGCCTGTGTTCAAAAGTAACGGATACAGGGTGCTTTACTAAATTTTATAAGTATTAAATAAGTATAAGTCAAGTAAAATAACTTTTTAAAGCTTTAATTCACAAGTATGATATACATATTGTTACGAGCTTGAGGTTCGTGACAATAAAAATTGCCGATAAAACTACCTAAATTAACACTTTAATTTACTTTACACAAATTAAAACTTAAAACACTAATAATTAAACACACTAATTCACTTTATTCCGCTTCGAAGCTTCGCTTTTCTCGCCAAATCTAATACCGCCCCGATCGCATCTTGCAGCGCCTATACATACAAATTAGCAATGAAGCATCCGGAATATTCAAGTAAATGCGCGCAAAGTGACGAGTGTTCGAGTGTAGATTTTCTAGAAACTTAGTTCTTCGGATGGCGCTGTCGGTAAAGACTTGTGATGTCATTTTCTTCAAAGCTCCCCTCGCTCTCGTTCCTGACACTAGATGGCGCTAGTATTTGACGTTGAGCGCGTAACACTGCCCCCTCCTAAGACATGCTCGTCCCGAGCATTATCGGCCCCATAATAACGCGCCAGGCGATCCACATGGGCAATCTTAGGAGTCCCTCTTGCGCCTTTCTGTAACGGCTCCGCATTGTCTAGGGCTGTCCTATCCCGTGGTGCACCAACATTGCACAATTTCGATGCGCCTCTATTACGTGTCTGAGGTCCCTTCACGGCCGCACAACTTGTACATGTACGACACCAATCCTCGACATAGTCACGACAATGGACCCAGTAAAACTGTTCTCGGACCTTCAATAGAGTTCGTTTAACTCCCAGATGGACTCTTGAACGACCATTATGGCACAGCTGTAGAACATTCGGCACTTTAGCTTTAGGGACAACCATTTGCAAACGACAGCTGTCTCCTCGACCATTGTCCCATTTACGGCACAGGACTCCATCCTGAAGCAGCAAGTTGTCCCATTGGGCCCAATAGCTTTTTGTGGTTGAACTAATCGCTGAGACGTCCCTCCACTTAGGCTTGGTAGCACGGGCCTTCATCCATCCCAGAATCGGCTTGATGTCCGGATCTTCCTGCTGTGCATGTCGTAGGCTGTCCTTCCACCCGTTGCTGAGGTGGTCTGTCCTGAGCATCCTCACGGATACCACTTCCTTACTCTCTTGCCTACTACAATGCTTGCAATCTTCAGGATAAGGTCTTCTTTTCAATGCATCTGCGTTGCCGTGAGATTTCCCGCTGCAGTGTCTGATAGTAAAGTCGTATTCCTGCTGCTGCTGGGCGGTGCTGTTAGCCGCATTTCCTTTCTGAGACCGTTCACCTTCCCTTCCTAGGGTGTGCTTAGGGCAGCTGGACCGAAGATGGCCCCTTTCCCTACAGCCATAGCACCTAGGGCTGTATCCTTTATTGTGGTCGCGAACCGTAACTGCTGCAACCTCCCTAGCGTGAGGTGAACGATGAACCTGTCGCCGCCAGGCAGTGCCGTTAGCTGCACTACCCTCCTGATATCGTTCACTTTCCCTTTCTGCGGTTCGCTTAAGGCAGCTGGATCGAAGGTGGCCCTTTTCCCCCACAGCCATAGCACCTAGGGCTGTATCCTTTGTTGCGGTCGCGAACTGTAGCTGCTGCAACCTCCCTGACGCGATGGGAACGATGATTCTGCCGCACGGCTTCCACCTCCAGTGCATGGGCCAAGGCGTCCTTAAGCGTCTCGTGATGCCCGAGCCTCACAGCAGCTCTGACTTCCAGGTCGCGGATGCCGTCGATGAATGTCTGCACCAGGTTCCCTTCAATGAGCGCAGGTACAGACCGGTATGCTTTTCGCACCAGCTTCTCCACCTCTAGAGCCCACTGCTGCAGGTTTTCGTTGATGCGCTGCACGCGATCTTTAAGCTGCGCACGAAAGACGTGTTCCAGGTGAGCTTCGCCATATCTCGCCTCCAATGCCTCAAGGAGTTGCTCATAAGTCACTTCCTCTCTGAGAGCTTCCAGAACTGTTAAGGCCTGGTCACGCAGGCCTAGTGTGAGAGCAGTCATGGCCTGATTTTTATTCCAGCCGGTCGCCTTCATAACAGCTTCAAACTGGATTTTGTAGGCTGACCAGGAAGAAGTCCCGTCGAATGGTGGCACCTTGAACCCACGTAGCGAAGGTGTAGTAGCTACTACGGGAGCTGTAGTTCCCTCCCCAAGTTTGAGTTCGTCCAGCGTTTTCTTCACGTCAGCCATTACGTTGTCAACCCGATTGTTTACTTGGTCGATTCGGGTTTCATCTTCCGACAGGCGGTTGTCATGTTGAGTAACCTTATCCTTCATCTCCTTGATCTCCTTCCCGAAGGTAGCGTGAAGGTCCTTCATGAGGAGCATCTGCTCTTCCAACCGACGGGCCTGTTCCTCTTGTCCGTCCCGCAGCTGCTCTTCCAAACGACGGGCCTGTTCCTCCTGTTGGCGAGCCTGTTCCTCCTGTCGGCGAGCCTGTTCCTCCTGTCGGCGAGCCTGTTCCTCCTGTCGGCGAGCCTGTTCCTCCTGTCGGCGAGCCTGTTCCTCCTGCTGCTCTTTCAACAGACGGGCCTGTTCCTCTCGTTCGCGCTGCAGCTGCTCCTGTAGCATCGCCATCAGAGCACCTAAATCAGGTGTTGCAGATGTAGGAGCTACTGACGGGCCTGCCGCCGGTGGCTGGGCCTCCGACGTCTGCGGCGTTGCACCACCAAATCTTCTTTGGTCCGTCTCCTGCTGGCGTTGACTTCTGGTACGGACACCCTCCGTTTCCTCCTTAGGTAAAATCGGCATAATTTTATCCCACTTCTGACACCAATTGTTACGAGCTTGAGGTTCGTGACAATAAAAATTGCCGATAAAACTACCTAAATTAACACTTTAATTTACTTTACACAAATTAAAACTTAAAACACTAATAATTAAACACACTAATTCACTTTATTCCGCTCCGAAGCTTCGCTTGTCTCGCCAAATCTAATACCAACCCGATCGCATCTTGCAGCGCCTATATATACAAATTAGCAATGAAGCATCCGGAATATTCAAGTAAATGCGCGCAAAGTGACGAGTGTTCGAGTGTAGATTTTCCAGAACATAGTTCTTCGGATGGCGCTGTCGGTAAAGATTTGTGATGTCATTTTCTGCAAAGCTCCCCTCGCTCTCGTTCCTGACACTAGATGCTAGCGCCATCTAGCGTCAAACATCTACTAGATGTTTGACGTTGAGCGCGTAACGATATTAATGCATATTCTGACTGTAGCCATGTTCACGCATACAAACGTAATTCCATGAACGAGCTACAGGTAGCTAGTGTGAGTGACTACCTCGTTAATCCAGTGATCATAATCACGACTGCTGATCATGTGGCCTCGGATTTGATTCCCGAGTCATTTCGCAGCTTCTCATAATAAAAGTAATAATCATTGAACTGTAAATTGCCGCCAATCAACTCGTTGATTTAGTAAGATCATGAGGTCCCGGATACAAATCCGGGTCCGGCCGAAATCAGTTCTGGAGTATTTTTGACAAGATTCTCAGTAACAGTCTGAAGTAAGAAAGGTAAACAAAACACGAATAGCTAGCTGCATTTTTATTTAGTCTGTAGAGAAAAGGAGGTCTTATTACATTATTTTATCAAGCAGTACAGAAGTTTGATACCTAATCGTTCTGTTGGTGATAGTTATTGCTAAATTACATTTATTAGCCAAAAAGCACCGCATTTGAAAATATTAATGTTAAACAACTGCCTTATCTACATTTATTTATAATTACATTTTTTTATCAGAGATTTAGTTTTATCGGATTACATTTTATTGATACAATATTATTGTTGTTATTTGAGTATCTCGGCGATATTTCTTTTTTGAGTACTTCAGTTCACTTTAACTGATATTCCCTTTTGCGAAGTACAAACCCAAATTATCCGTTACTTTAGAAAGTGTAATTTATAAAATTAATAATTTTAGAATTAAGTTCAGGTTAAGTAAATAAATAAGTAAACATATTTCAAACGGATTTGTTGTCACTAAGTCCAATTTGTTTCTCTGTAGGAAACTTATTCCTAACTCTTAATGAAATTCAACTTGGTTTACTCTTTTTGTTTTATTAAGAAAGTCATTATGAAGCTATGATTACTTGATATCACTTTACCAAAGGTTTAGTTTAAATAAAGTAAAGATTTTTAAATCAGTTGATTTAATTAATTCATCGAAGATGCAGTTAAATGTTTATCTTGAATAATTTTCTTCTTCCATAAGTATTTGCAGTATTACACAACAAGATATAAACGCTTCTTTTCTTTTTGCTTACCAAGCATTTAGCAAAGATATCATAGGACGCCATAAGCCATACTGGCTGACTGTGACCATAAGACATACGACACAACTCATTTGACAAATTTAAACAGGGGAAATAGAAGCTCGAAGACAAAGCTTGGTCTTCTTGTTATGGTTTCAAATTATGGTAGAGAATTCCCGAGAAATAGAAAACAAATTAAGCATTGATCACGCAACTTTGGAAATTGAGGTTTTGAGTTCAGTATACAATTCCGCGTGAGCACAGTTTTAGCGTGGATTCCTCTATGCAAGCATGCAATTGTAAAGCATGAGTTACACTATCCGCACAACTACAAATTTGTTGGAAAAGCTCTAGTTACGTGCTATGAGAAGAAGATTTTCGACCATAATGTTATACGCAAGAGACAATGGTTGAATTAAAAGCAAAACCACAAGCCTACCCGAATCTAAATCATACATCAACAAAATATGTGTTGTGTTTGATGCTATTATTTGATCTGTGCTCGGAAATTTTTACTACGGAACAAGTTAAAAAGTTGAGTCCTTATTGACTTTTCAAACGCATTTAATTGTGTCGATCACGACTTACTCCTTGGATTACTCTCACGCCTAAACTTCTCCTCGTCAGTACTGAACTGGTTTTCCTCTTATCTTCGCGGTCACCAGCAGGCTGTTCGGGCTGGTCAGGATTTTTCCGACTGGTGCGATCTATATCTAGGTGTACCGCAAGGCGGCATTCTCTCTCCTCTCTTGTTTTCGTTGTTTATCAATCTTCTAACTACCCACCTTCAATGTTCTTACCACCTATACGCTGACGATCTTCAGTTATACTCACAAGCGTCCTCGGTTGAAATTGCTACCGCTATTGCAGCTATTAATCAGGACTTACAACGCATTTCAAACTGGTCACAGCGATTTGGTATAACGGTAAATCCCAGTAAATGCCAGGCTATTATCATTGGTAGTCGTCGATTGGTGTCACAACTTAACATACCTGATCTACCATCCATTTGCTATGAAAACTGTGTAATTCCTTTCCGCACTAGTGTCAAGGATCTGGGTTTAATTATTGACTCGACCCTTAGTTGGAGGTTACAGGTGTCCGAGATTTGTCGTAAAGTCACAGGCATACTTCGTTCCATCTATCGTCTTAAGTTCTTTCTGCCTCCTTCAACTAAGCTTCTACTCATCCAATCACTAATTCTTCCATTATTTGACTATGCCGATGTTTGTCTTTCTAATATCTCTCAGGAGCTGCTAAGCAGGTTGGACAGGTTACTTAACAACTGCATACGATTCATCTTTGGTCTGCGCAAATACGATCACGTATCAGAATTTCGCTCCCAATTAAAGTGGTTGACTATACGCCAGCGCAGAGATTTTCGAATGCTGTCCTCTCTGTTTTCAGTTCTTAATGATTCTTCCTCACCCCTTTACCTAAAAGAAAGATTCCAATTCCGTAGTGACACTCATTCTCTCAATCTCCGGTCTTCACACAATTTATTACTGTCTACTCCTCTCCACCATTCTGGGTTTATGTCAAATTCTTTTACATTAACTTCCATCTCCCTCTGGAACAAATTGCCTGTTGACCTGCGCATAATACCTGCTAAAAACGTGTTTAAAAGAAAACTATACGAATATATCCGTAACCAAAAAATTTGAGTCCACTTACTTTATATGTTTATAGTTATTTGTATATAAATTTATGGAGATATATATTTATATATGTATATGTGTATGTATATATGTATATATATGTATATACATATGTATGTGTGTGTAAGTGTATATAATATATATGTGTATATATATATTATATGTATGTGTAGCATGTACATTTTGAATTGAATGAGATCATGACATCTTTACTGCCCATAACTCACTCTCTGTTCTACCCAAGGTTAGCTGGTAGAGAATGCCATATAGCATTAAGCTCGCCTTTTGTACAAAATCTTTGGTGCAATAAAGAATAAAATAAATAAATAAAATAAATTACAGCCTATATACGGCCCCACTGCTGGGTCTCTTTTTATTTCTGAGAGTTTTTTTAGGGCAAGGAATTGTCGAACTTCACATGTCTTCGAAATATGTTTTTTATTTCTCAGACATGCGGATTTCCTCACGATATTTTCCTTCACCGCCGAGTATCGAATCCGGGTTGCTCGCATAATGTGACTTTACAGCGAGTGCTAACCATCTGAGTAACCACGGCTAAGTTAATCAATAGAAACTTTGAATGACGAATTTAAATGTGAAAGAAAAATTACCAAAGGTGGCCCTCGGTCAGTATGCTCTAGTACAACCGTGACATCATCGTGTCGAGGTACTTTTTAATGCTGAACAGACAAAAATTTCGATAGGAAAACAGATAGGGAGAACATTACGTACATTTCAATTAACATCCAAACAGTATTCAATATTTAGTTATACACATGAACTAAAAATCGTGCGCATAGGGGAAAGCTCGTCTGGGGAAGGACCACGCCCTCAAGGAACACCAGCGTAAAATAGCAGCTTAATACTGCTGTGTTTCGAAAAATGAGCATAGAGATCCGGAGACCCTTTTTTTACTGGAAACGAGGCATTACATCTTAGTCCTCAGGGGTGACAACGCATCTGCGCTTTGATTCTTAATCGAGGATAAATGTAGATATCTATGGGCCACAGCATCCACTTACCATCAGGTGGACTGTGTGCTCGTTTGTCATGCTATCCTATAAAAAAATACCGGCCGTGTAAAAAATTATTTAAGGAAAGATAAACGTGAGTCTGAGTCTCTTCCACTAAAGTGACTGATGTGGAGCCCAGCCCTGCTTTTCCGTCACCCTCCTCATCCCCTCTAGTCCAAATCATGATTAAAATCAACCAAGCTTTGGCTGACGCTATTGGTGGTTCTCCTGTCGCCGTTGAAACTGTCAACCCACCAGCACAGTAGGTTCCTGGACCAGTTGTTGTGGTCGACAAACCAATTATCCCAGACCCCGCTATCGTTACTCCCGAAATCCGTAACTAAATAATAGCTACCTTAAATATTGTTCGATCAAACCAACAAATACAAATGTAAATAAGTACTTATTTTGTTTTGTTACACTTCCTGTGTTCTGAGATAATGGACACTACTTTTATATAGTATCGATCCAACGTTTTGAGGAAATCGTGAATAATACATATATATTTTAAAATGAAATGTTTAAATAAATCACAACACCACACATACCTTTTTAGTAAGTATTTTAAAGTAGGTATATTATATGTTTTCATTACTATTAATTATATTATTTTTAATTATATTTAATGAAAATCTCCTGAAATAATAGAGACATTGCATGCGAAGCCGCGAGCTGAAACTAATTTTGTAATAATGCACTTCGTTCTTAGAAATAAATAGAAATCGCTAGGTTTTAGGTTGGTGAATATAGACGATACTCAAGTATTTTAAAGCCAGCATCTCCAATTGCAGTTACCGAAACGGCGGACCTATTAGCATTTCGCACGCAAATTGTTGTATTGTTGTGCTATTGTTTAATTTGTTTTGCATATGAAGCGCCCATAATGGTACTTCTATGATTGAGATATTCAATATCCCTGAAAAGACATCCAAAGTTTAAAAATCCATAGATGAAATTCATAGATGTAGTAACATTTTTAATTCACAGATTTTCTTATGAGTAAAACAGCTATATAGTAAAGTATCTTTACAATAAAGTTCACAAAGAGTATTTAAATTGGGAGCTCCTAAGCAGCTTATATCTATGATAGTATTATTTTCATCACAAATATCTTGTACACATTTAATTTTTTCACATCCTTTCAAAAAATCTCTTTATCATTCAAATATATCTTGATAATTCTGTGAAACTCTTTATAATCAACAAAGCCCTCACTCCATCGATACTCTGTGCTTTTCAATCCAGCCAATTTGTTTTTTCTCTTCAAGAGATAGTGGGTAAGGAGATTCAACTCTAGAGTAGCTATAGCAAATTCTTTTACTATAAATTCATTATTGTTATTTTTGAATCCTTGAAGATCTACGTTTACAATATTGCTATTCATAATATTTTTTAACGATATTACTCAGTGGTTTGTATTCTAATATACAATCTTTTAAAATCAAACAATAAGCGGTTGTCTGAAGTAAAAGTTAGTTACATTCGTATCGTAGTATTAATTCATATTCAAATGTTAATAGTTTTATCATCAAGGGTATTTATGTAGCAGTAAAATGCTTTTTAATTCATTCGAATCGGACATTTAATTTCGAAGTTACAATTAGTATAAAAATTCAATACGCAAACCGTTCGAGGCCGCCGCGACGTTTCTATACAAAAATCAATTGTTGTCCGGTAGTTTCGCTAAAACTCGAAAACGCCTCGACCGATTTTGATGAATTTTTTTTGTGTGTTTGAATGGGTCTGTAGATGGTTTGGATTCACATTTGAACCCGGTAGGTGGCGCTGTTGTCGAGATCAAGAAATCACCCGTGCGAAGCCAGGGTGGATCGGTAGTTTTCAATTAATTAGGGCACGCCGTGTTGTTGTCATGACTCATTTGAATTAAGTAACAAAATAATAAAATATAATATGTATTTTTTACGGAGAAGTTTTGTCATGCTATCCACTTTGATGTATGGAAATTGGTAATATACAGGCACGATAATATTTGGCGGGTGTTGCTAGTAATAAATAAAATAGAATTGTTTCAACAAAATACTTTATTATATCTTAAACAAGTTTCGATAGTTATAAGTATTAATGGAAATTGCTTTAAACAGGTTAGTCAAGTATGTCAGAAAGTACGATAGCGGGGACTGGCATGATAGGCTGAGCGACTATAAAAGCCTCGGGTGCAGCGACTTCTTCGACGACAGCGACGGGCTTAGGGAGGATGGGCTTGTCGACAATGATAACAGGCATGGGTTCGATAGCTTCACTAAACACATGAACGGGGTTGGGTGGCTCGGGAAGGGGATGGAATAGCTTCAATAGCAACAGGGGAAACAGCAACGTCAGAAGTAGACTAGATGTTCAGGATGATTTGAACAAGAGGAGCACCCGCAGAGGGCGCAACGGAAGCAGGCATCATGGGGGCGGGGTGTGCCTCTGTCACGGCACCTCCGTCGGGCAAGGGGAAATCGATGATAGTGGGTTCGATTGAAATAGGTTCAGGCTTGTCAACGATGGCAGGTCCAACCTCAATGGGCTCGGGTTGGTTTAGTCCAAGGATATCCACTAGCATCTGTTCGAGAACGGCAGCAGTAGCAGGTCAGTGCTGGGACTGCCGATCTCTTGGATCTCAGGGTTGTCGATGACGATGACCACGGTCGGGATAATGCTGGTCGAAGCCATGGCAGCGTAGAGCGCGTGGGCGATAAAGTATTTCATTTTTGTTCTGAAACAAAAGCAATATTAAATATAAAATAACCACGGAAAAGTTAATTTCAAATTGTTATTTAAAACTGTCTATTATTTTAAAATCAGTTTAAGTTACAATTAGTTCAAGTTTTTAAAGGGACTGCATCCACGTGACAAAGGGGCCTAGATTTTTTCTCGCGCAAAGGCTATTCAGCTAGGAAACTAGTACTTATAAATGTAGTATATAGGTTATAAATGTTGTATATTATAATTTTTAAACTCACTTTAGCCTCAGTTTGTGGCTTATGGCACCACTTACATTTAGGATACTGTATTTATATAAAATTTGTCATTGTCACCGTTTTATTCTTTGGATTATTTGTAAATAAATCTTAATACACGCTAATATAAAGTATCTTCATTAGAAATGACTTCTTAATCGATGCAGTAAATTTTTTAAATTGTGTACTGAAATAAATTTCCCTTTTGATAAATAATATAATAATAGAAGTTATTATATTTTAAGATGTTCTATTTTTTTATTATAATTAAATGTAATCACGTACAAATGTCAAACCAAACAAATAATGTAGGTACCACAAAGGTTTTTCTAGTTTACTGCAGTATGATGCCATGTGACAGTCGGATCCCACGGTTTTGGAAGCAGAATAAATGGTGGTTAACTACTATAAGAAAGAGGGGCTATTTCTCACGAAGTAGCTCTTTCCGAAGAAGCGCTAGAGGAACTGTTCCTAGCTTAGCCTTTATAAAATGACAAAAAAATGAGATGAACTTCGACGTGACGGACAAAAGGCAAGTATTCAGAGATATCTCAGTGATCAACAAATTCAATACCGGAAGCGATCACCGACTTGTCAAAGGCAATTAATAAAGTACAGGTGTTACCTTGAGGAAATACATTATAATGAAGTTATTAAAAATTCACTTGCTTAGATTCGGGCAATAAAATAAAATGATGTTTCTTACCTAGTTTGAAGAGCAATTCCCGCACTCCCTAAATTGCGTGCACTGTGGTGTTGTGGACCGTGCACTATAAATAATTGAAAGAGGGCTGAAGTTGTCTTTCAAACTAGGTAAGACACATCATTTAGTTGCGCGGATCTAAGCAAAAAATTTTCATTAACTCTATTGTCCAAGGCACTTTTGACGTCGATTTTACGCTTGAAAGATCTCCTGGGATAAAGTCCACTCTCCCATCGCTTCCAGCTGGAACTTAAAAACTGATGTAATGTATTGAGACCCACTTTGGATATTGACGATCTCTTAGTAAGCTAATTGGCTGAGTGAACGAGCAATATTGGCGGCCAAAAACAAAGATGTTAATGATATCAATGCGACCATTCAGAATTTTCTTCCAGGGGGAGTTGTTTTCTTACTAAATCAGTTGACACAGTTACAAACCAGGTTGCCGTAGTCAACTATCCCACAAAGTTTTTAAATTCCCTGGATTTTTTTAAAGAAGATTAAATTAAATATTATTTAAATGATTCTAAGTTACAAATTTACCTCTCTCCTTTGTAAGTGTAACTCAGCATGTTGTGAAACTCTGTCATTGGCTAAGTGTACTATTTTTTTAAGTATGTTTGTAAAAAAATGCTGTTGAGTTTCCCAATAAATAAATAAAAAATATGCTGATCTTGCATTAGTAGTCAGTAACTTGTACTGGGAGGTCTACTTACACTAAACGTTAGGTCATTTTCTTTCTTCTATCGACCAATTATTTTACTAAAGATCAGTATATGTTGATCTTGCAATAGTAGGCAGTAACTATTATTTGGAGATATACTTACACTGAACTTTGTATGGTCATTCACATTATACGCGAACGCCGTAGGATGCATTGTTTTTATGTATTCTTTTGGATTTAATCTATCTGGTTATATATATGGTTTAAAATAATATATATATATATATATATATATATATATATATATATATGGCTAGTATGACATATGAGATCATACTTAATAGGTGATTTATAACAATGGGCATCGAGAAATAACAACATCTTCTTGTCAGGTATACCTTAATACCTGAAAACGAAATTATACTACCTGTGCGTGTTGCCAGTGATGACTTATAAATCTGAGACGTGCTCCATCACTGCTGGCCGTATGAGGACAGTGAGCTAAGGAGAGATATGCTCGGGGTTTCTCTGCGTGATAAACTTAGAAATGAGGATATCTGTAGTAGAGCCAGAGTAACTGACATAGCCCAACGGATTAGTAAGCCGAAGTGACAATGGGCCAGCAATACAGCTCAAAGAACCGACACTCGATGGAGATAAAGGTTCTCGAGTGGTTGCCTCGTAACGGTGGGCAAAGTGTATGGCGACCCCCCCCCTCACCCACTAGATGAAGTGACGACCTGGTAGGACATGCAGGAAGACGAAGATGGATGCAGGTGGCCCTGAACCGTGTTTTATGTCATTAATTGAGGGAGCCTGAACCGTGTTTTATGTCATTCCTTGAAGGAGGCCTATGTTCAGCAGTGGACTTGTGAGGAGCTGTAATGATGATGATGATTATTATAACAATGAAATTGTAGTTTATGGTTTAGAAAATTCTACATCTGCAACTCCTATGAACTTCACCTATGGATTTTTTCATCTATGGATGCCTTTTCAGTGATATTAAATATCTCAATCATAGAAGTACTATTATGGGCACTTTATATGCAAAATAAATAAATAAATGCGCAACGAAATGCGTGCGAAATGCTAACAGGTCCACCGTTTCGGTGGCTACAAATCGAGATGCTGAATTTGAAATACTTAAGTATCATCTATATTCACCAACCTTAAAATCTAGATATTTCTATTTCCAAGAAGAACAATTTAATGAGCCCAGTTGTAATGAAGTGCATCATTATAAAACTACTAGGAAAAACTTTTTGCAAAACGGCTTTGCATGCAATGCCTTAATTTCAGGAGATGTTTATAAAATGTAATTTAAAATAATATAATTCATAGTAATCAAAACATATAATATATTTTAAATTACTCATGAAAGGTGTGTGTGGTGTTGTGATTTATTTAAACATTTTGTTTTAAAATATATATGTATGTATTACGAGTATTCATGATCGTTGGATAAATACTTTATAAAAAGTAGTGTTTACTATCACAGATCACAGGATATGTAATAAAACAAAATAAGTATTTATTTACATTTGTATTTGTTTCTTTGATCTAACAATATTTAAGGTGGCTATTATTTAGTTAAGGATTTCGGGAAGAACGATAGCGGGGTCTGGGAAAATTGGCTGAGCGACAATCACGGACTCAGGAGCTTCGGGCTTTTCCACGACGGTGACAGGCTCGGCGATAATAGGCTTGTCCACAACAATGACGGGCTCAGGGACAGCGGGCTTGTCGACAACGATAACGGGTTCAGGGATAATTGGTTTGTCGACCACAGCAACTGGGTCAGGAATCTGCTGTGCTGGTGGGTTGACAGTTTCAACGACGACAGGAGAACCACCAATGGCGTCAGCCAAAGCTTGGTTGATTTTAATGATGATTTGGACTAGAGGGGATGAGGAGGGTGACGGAGAAGCAGGGCTGGGCTCCACATCAGTAACAGCACCCCCGTCGGGCAAAGGGAAGTCTACGATGGCAGGTCCAATGGAGATGGGTTCGTAGTTGTCGACGATTGCAGGTCCAACATCGATGGGTTCAGGCTTAGAAAGGCCGAGGATATCAAGGAGCATTTGTTCAAGGGCGACAGCAGTAGCGGGGTCGGTACTCGGGCTCTGGATGGCGGCCACGATCTCCTGGATTTCGGGGTTTTCACTGGCGATGACAGCGGCAGGAAGTACACTGGCCGAGGCTACGGCGAACAGGAGGGACAATGCGACGAAAAGTTTCATATTGGCGATCTAAAAATAAAAAAGTCCAATTACATTTCTTATCGATCAGAAATTTTAAAATTAAAATTCGTTAATAATAACTGTATATATTAAAGTTTATTAAATGGCAGTGATGTTCAAGGGTAATTACTTACTTTGAGCTATGCAGTTCACTTAATACCAATGCCTTTTCCAGCGATGTATTTATAGTGATTTTTATCCATTTTGTCAATCTAATCCAATTAATATGATATGATTATATTGTAGCAATCTCTCCATGTAATTCCTTTCTGCTGCACGTCTGATATTAAATCCAAGTTAGTTGTACGCGTACCTGCGTTTAATATAAATGTCAATGTACATATGAGTACTTATCAATGTCCAAAAAATAATGCCGTTTATGTTAGAAATTATCCGTCAAAATAATGTCTAGCTTTAGTGACATAAGAGCAATTTAAGCAATTGCTCTTATGTCACTAAAGCTAGACAATCTTTGTATTTGGTTGTATTTGAGTTCAAAAAATCCATCTTTTACGTTTTCGGCCTAACCCTTTATGTAATCTTAATATATAAAAATAACTGGCATTTTTCGGTGTCACTTTATAACTCAAGAACGGGCTCACCTATCCAAACCAAATTTTCAGGGTTTGTTCGGACTATTTAGTAGATGGTTTATGTGAAGTTTGCACAAAATCGATCGAGTGGTTCTTCATTTATCACATTTTTTGTAACAAATGAATTCAATAAATGGCGGGTCATTTTGTTAATGGAGATTTTTTAGACGGGGAATTGTGCTGTCAAATTAAAAGTAGAAATAAGAACTTAGTACCTTATTGTTTCTTTTGTTTTGGCGTACGCTGGCGCACGCCGCGACGCGCCGCGCCGGCGAAAACTGCAGTTGTTTTCGTATTTTTGAAAAAAATGGGTACTTTAATGAGTTGGGAATAGAGTTCAGTAACCGTTGATAGTGAACGAGTCGAAGCGAAGAAATTTCTTCGGCAGTGTGATTTGAGCCTAAAAGTAGCGTGTACTTTTTTCAGTTTTTTGTGCGCTGTCAGTTTTTCATGTAGTTAGCAGGCTTTATTTGAATTAAATTGTCAAACGCATTTTCACAAACGGTAAGTTTTGAACTGTTGAAGTGATTACATGTATGTATGTTTCTTTATTTGAAAAAAACATATTGGTGTGCATACGGGTATATTATTATTTTGTAATGGATTATTTTATTGACATTTTTTATACATTGACAACGTATGCAGTTATATAGGTACAGGGTGAAGTTTTGGTGGTTGTTTTCCCGCAAAGAATTGATTTAGTAGTCAATACCTACTCCTTTTGTATGAAAAGTTGAATTTTTATTTTTACGTGAAACTGAATCGATATCTTACGGGAAAACAACCACCAATATTTCATCCCGTATATTTCCAGACACACATGTATAAATACTGATACACCACTATTAATGTAGCAATTTGTTTTTAATTTCATTTTCTCTTTTTTATATGAAGGATAAATGCCACGAGCCAGACGACCAAATATAGGTCGGTGAACGCGTAATACAAATTATGTGACATCACAAAGACGATCACAGACTGCAGATGAACGCACACAAGCTAATGCATCGCAGCGTGAACGTAATGCACGAAATAGGTCTGCTGACCCTGTGCCTGTACTGAATCTTCCACGGTGATCACGGATACGACGTGCTACTTTGACTGAAACGATGTGTGCTGCTTTTAATTACAACGCTCAGTTTGATTATAGTATGTACGGATACATTGGAATGATGGGCGTAATATATCCACATTGTGATGCGGCAAAATTTTCAAATGAAACGCCCGGCATGTGTTATGCCAATGGCAAAGTTAGATTGCCTTGCAGCGGCTGGGAGTCCAGAGTCGGTACCCCCAGCCGTTTGCTTATTCACACTCAAAATGGAAAAACAAAAGATATTGTTTATTTTTTTTATTTTTTTTAATAGAATAGGGTGACAAACGAGCACACAGTCCACCTGATGGTAAGTGGTTGCTGTGGCCCATAGACATCTACATCTATCTTCCATTACAAATCAAAATGCAGATGCGTTGTCACCCGCGAGGACTGAGATGGAATGCCTCATTTCCAGTAAAAAGGGTCTCCGGTTCTCTACACTCACCATACGAAACACAGCAGCATTAAGCTACTATTTCACGCTGGTATTCCGTGAGAGCGTGGTCCTTCCCCGGTCGAGCCGACCCATTCGTGCTATAACTATACTACTAATATAACTGCAGCATGGCTCTACCACGTAAAAATCCTATCGTCTCCAAATGTTTTGGATTAAGTTTTTAAATAGCTAGCAATTAATTTTTCTTTTAAATGAAGCGATTTTCCAACTGATTTTTGTATTATTTCATTTTATACGTAGCGAAGCACGTACCGGGCCGCTAGTATTTCATATTGTTTAAGTGTTTGGAGCCGCAGAAATGCCAGAGTTTCTAGATTTTCCTAGAATGAATATGAATAAATATTTTTGCCGATTTTGATGTATTTGGTATACACCAAAATAAAATAAACAGGTCAAAAGCAGCATATACCAAACAAACTTATAATAATAGATAGGTCTTTATGTAGTTCATTAGGATTACAAGAAATCGCTAATTATTATTATTATACGTGCATTATTCGGAAATAAAAGATTTGGTGCAGTTTTCATATTATATAGTATAGTAAGAGAGAGTATATGATTTCTGAGCTTTCTAGATATTTACCAGTTATAACAGCCCAATTTTTTGGATTCGTGAATATTATTGTTGTATTAGACGGTGACGTTATAATTGTTTAAATAAATCTTCAGTCACAAGATATAAGAGCCGTGGTAGTTTACTAAGCGCTAATGTAAAACGCGAACAACACGGGCTAAATTGTTAATTGCAAATGTTAGTACCGATTTACCACGCGGCCGGGTGTAAAGGAATGAATGAATGAAGAAGGTTTCATATCTGAGAAATAAAAACAAACACTTCCTTTCCCTTACACCCTCTCAGAATCATATTATTTATCGAGAGAAAAGGCTTGTATAAAGGCCTATATACGAATACGTTGCAACTGTAACTATACTTCACTTTTTACAGAAGATACACAACTTTTATTATTTTTAACAAGGCCCTACTGTGAGACCTTGTCAGAAAACACAGCTAGATATTCACAAGTAGACTATTGTATTCCATTACATGCGCAAATTTTTCCTACATGGTTACGAAAAGTGTAGATCTGATATAAAAAGTTGGCAATCTTTATTTTGAGTTTGTGTAGACACTGTCACCGTATATGTGCACATTTATTATTTATATTTATTATTTATTACTACACAATTGACAACTTAGGTACTTTGCGAAATATGTCTTCGTCGGAGTCATCATCAGCGTAATGACAAATATAACGAAGAGGTGGTGACGTTTTTTTTTTTGATGTAGAATAAATAAGGTAACATGCAATCAACTAGATGGTAAGTGGATGCTGTGACCCATAGATATCTACAACTATCCTCGATTAAAATCAAAATACAGATGCGTTATCGCCCCTGAAGGCTAGGAATGCCTCGTTTCCAGTAAAAAAGGGGTCTCCAGTTCTGTAAATCCACCAAACGAAACAAAGCAGCGATAAGATGTTATTTTTTTGCTGGTATTCTGTGAGAGGTTGTGTTCCCAGTCAAGCATTTGTGCTACAACCATAATATAGCTGCAGGTTGGCTCTACCAGGTATCAAACGTCACTTTAATAATTAACAACGCTACGCTATAAACATTCATAGGTACATAAGTTCGTTGTCTTTTATTAAGGTCATAGGAAATTTGGGGAACAGACTGAAATCAATCCAAATATTTTGAACTCAAGTTTCGCAGCCTTTAACCACTCACCCTAATGGTATTTTTGATATGCAAATTGATTATTGTCGGTGAAAATGTTATCGAATTTCCATAAGTTATAAATGTTAATCTAATACTTCAAGAAGATAATGGGAATCATCAAGCGAATGCTAGATTAAATTTTCCTAACCAAGTACAGGTGTAAAATTCAAATAAATTCTTTAGATTGGCGTTAAAAGTAACTTATCAGCACGGGAATAGCCCTTTTTATAATTACAAGAAATGAATTTGTGGTAGAGTCACGCTGCAGCTATATTATAGTTGTAGCACGAATGGGTCGGCTCGACCGGGGCAGGAGCACACTCTCACTTGATGCCAGCATAAAATAGTAGCGTAATGCTGCTGTGTTTCGTATGGTGAGCGTAAAGAAGCGGAGAGTAAGAAGTTACTGGAATCGAGACATTCCATCTTAGTCCTCAGGGGTGACAACGCATTTGCATTTCGATCCTTAGTTGAGGATAAATATGGAGGTCTATGGGCTACAGCATCCACTTACCATCAGGTGGACTGTGTGCTCGTTTGTCACTCAATGCTGTAAAAAAATGCGTGCCATTTCCCGCATTTCTATAGCCAACAGTAACCAAAGTCAAACAACAATACAAACTGCAGATTACCAATTCTTTAAATAATCCTAAAAAATTACTTTTATGTATAATTACGGTTAGGAAATTCCTCGTAAGGATTTTCTCCTATATCCTGGAAGAAGTTTAAATATACAAATTGCAAGAAAAATATCAAAAACCAGAAGGATTATTTTTAGACCACACAAATATTTATTTGGTGCGGGATTCGAACCCACGGCTATCAGCGCTGCACAGCACCACGCATTCACTGTTTATGTTATGATATAAGTGAGATTACGTTAATTGATAAAATATGATATCTGGACATATAATTACAGAAAACGTTAAATCATAAATTAATAAAACTGTAAATAAAATTATTATCAACTTTCACGTTCCGTTTCTGTTTTTGATAATAAATGTCAAACTGTCCAATTATAAATCATCAAAACAAACACACGTACAAAATAATTATATATATATGGGTATAGTTGTAGCATGAACAGGTCGGCTCGACCGGGGATAAACCACGCTCTCACAGAATATCAGCG